CCCCCCCCCCCCCCCACTCGGCATCCACACTGAATCATTTGTAAGGTTTTAGCAAGTAACATGAGAAAGATAAAAATGAATGAATGGTCCATGACTTTTAGAAGCATTCGTATCTGCCAATGAGCTGTCCTCATCCCTCTTCGCCTATGGTGGAGGTCAGTAGAGTGGGAATGAGACCTGACATTTCGACTTTTACCTTTGTATATCATCACGGGACGGTTCTTTTCTTGCCTCTCGTCCTTATGGCATGAGAGTGTGAAGAGCGCCAACGTGAGTCCCTATTCTTCCCACCCAGAACTCAGCAGCTCGGATATGTCTCTCAATTGCGCTTCAGCTTCCTCTTGCCCCGTGCTCGACTTCTCGCGCGCTTGATGATATCTGGTGAGGAGTTTGACGCAAGCCTTCAACTTCTTTTCGGTGCTATCTTCTGAATACGGCTCGTCGCTATCGTCAAAACGCGACAGATTTAACCTCAGTCGCGGCCATAGAAGCGAGAGGAAAATGGCCGGTCCTTCAATATTGGTGACATTCCGGCTTCCTTCCCAAAAATGAAGGAAGAGATCTTGTCGTGCAGGCTCCAATGCAGGTAAAGGAGGGCACACTCCGTTGAGATCGATGGTAGAAAGACGTATTGTGTGGAGGCGTGGGCAATGAACACGAAAGGCTAACAGACTCGCAAAAGTTGGTATTATTGATGGTCTTCTGCTACTTTCTCTCCATTCGTACCAGGTCAAGGAGAACTCGCGCAACAATGGCCATCCCGTCGCCATTGCGTCGAGCTTCCCATCTGGCACGTCCAGGATGCCACCATGATAGAGAGAGAATAAAGCCAGAGAAGAACAACGGTTCAGAGGCTCCAAGTAATCCAGGAGTAGTGGCTCGTCACGGTAGAGCTGACTGAAAATCAAAATCAATTCTTCCACGTGTGGAAAACGATCCGCTACCAAGCGGCCGAGCTGTTGATAGTGGGCACTTTCTATGGGATGCACGTGCAGGGTTTTCATCGAGATTGTAATGTGATGAAGGTCAGCGACGAGAAATCGGAGCAATTTGAGGACAATGGACGGGACCGCGGTAATAACAAGGCTTTGGAGTGTGTTGACACTCAGAAAGCTTGATAGAGGTGGTTCTACACGAGCAGGGCGGAAGCTGAACAATTCCAGGCTCTTCAAATCACTGCTGCCGATTGCTGTCTTCACCACCGATCGAGATAACATAGCAGGAGATATGGATAGTTGCGTAAGAGGATTCGTTGGAATTAAAATGGCCAAAGCGCGTTCGCCGCATCGGTCATCGGTGGATTCCCAGAACGACAGCGAGCCAAGATGGTGCACTGTGCCGCCGATTCGGCGCAATAGTCCATCCACTGCGAGGGGCCAGGTTTGACTGCCTTCAAAGTTTTTGGGACGAACAGTGTGCAATTCAATCTTCCGTAGGGATGGGACGATGAATTGGGTAGTTACAAGGAGTGTCTCCAAACACTCTGCCCAGAAGAGTGAAAGGAACTGTAAGTTCGGAAACCAGTGCTCCGTATTAGACGATAAGTGATCGAAGGCAGTCCTAAGGTGCCCTGGGAAGTCGAATTTAATCCTGCTTTGATCTTCATACCAGTAAGCGAAGATGTCGCTAATCTCAATGGATCGCGCGAATGCCGCATAGAGAGTAAATCGTTCCAAGCTTAATGGTACTATCCTCTAGTATAAGATTAGAGTACAATCAAGGATGTCAGAAAATCATACCCACAGTGCCATTATTCTCCCAGTCCACAAACAGAATCTTCAGCAGTGCGTCTACTTCTTCGTAGGCAAGTCTTCTCCATATGAGCGGCGCTGCGGTATCAAAGCACATGCGCGATGTCAACATCATACTGTGGAGGTCTCCGTTCTCTGCAACATGATCGGCAATCTGCTGTACGACTTTGAGGATGGTCTACACACGATGCATATGTAGTCACTGCCAGCAGAAGGTGGTGGAGAACAAGTTGTGACGGGACGCGACGCGTCTCAGGACGCACTTGTGACGCGTGACGCGTGACAACACTGTTTCAAACCAGCCTCATGCCACGCAAACTTGCAGCACCGGGATTGACGCACACAACTAGTAACTATTCTGATTTCCAGACGTGAGAGAGGGTCACCAAACAATGCCGGACATCGTATATTGCACCGCATAGTTGATTCTATAGTCATGGGAGCCTGAGGCTAGTTGCAGCGCATTATAGGAAATGTGATACGTGAAAAAGAGAACCAAAGGAAGGAACATGCAAACACGTAAAAAAAGCTAACGACAGCGTTCGCCGCGCAACGCGTCCAACGGATGATGAGGTACCTAAGCAGGCTTGGCCAGGACACGCGGCTGGGACATGTCCTGCATGTTGATGAAGATGTCGTCGGCTGCAAGACA